GAATATCGATTTTCTGTTTCTTGCTAAGGAGAGAACAAGTCATTTGATGTGCCATGAGTTAAGTGAGTAAAAACAGACTCTGCGCTCCCTACAGCTGGCTGCATTTCTCCTCTATTCATAGACCCTGGCACATGGTAAAAGCTCAACAGATACCCATTAAATAAATGAAAGAACCATCCATGCGTTTAGGCAGGGCCTGCCCTGTGCCAGGCACCCGCTTTGGATTCAGATCTGTTGTCTTTCCTGTTCCGTCCACCTCATTCTGCCAACCGGGCCTCGCTCTCATCTTGCCTTTCTTCTTCTGTGTTGTCTGTTCCCAAGTCCGGTCTCCTCTTTAAAGCTGAGCTCACTGGCAGGCCTTCTCTCTGGCCTGCACTTACACTGACAGGGAGACAGAAAGATTGGAACAACCAGCAGGGGGTGGGTTCAATTTAGGCAGAGGGGGAAAATGCAACAAAACGGAAAGGAAAAAAAAAAAACCTGTTAAAACCCTCCCAATAAATGTGAACCCCTTAAAAGAAAAGAGATGCAGTGCCATCTTCTCTGCCCAAAATGGGCATCACTCTCAGCAGTCACTCCATGCATGCGTGCGTGCTCAGCCACTTCAGTCACGTCTGACTCTTTTGTGACCCCATGGATGTAGCCCACCAGGCTTCTCTCTTCATGGGGATTCTCCAGGCAGGAATACTGGAGTGGGTAATCATGTTCTCCTCCAGGGGATCTTCCCAACCCAAGGCTCAAACCCCCATGTCTTATGTCTCCTGCATTGGCAGATGGGTTCTTTACCACTAGCACCACCTGGGAAGCCCTAGTCACTCCATATTAATAACTAAAATGCCATGTCTCGTGCTGGGATTTCAACTCCCAGAGGCCCATACACAAAGGGTGTTTGCAAGAGCAGCATTAATATGCAATGGGGCATCTCTACATGGAGACTGGGTGGCGAAGCCCTCACGCCGCCCTTGCAGACACCCACAAACATTCTCTGCCCGTGTGGGTCTGCGGCTGCTTGTTTCACATCTCTCTGACCGACATTTCAGGTTCGCTAAATCTTCAGTCTGCAGAAGCATTTGTCCGTGGCCCGTGTAAATTAAGTCTCACTCAACTAAAATCAATCCAGTCTGCCTCGAAGGGGCACCTCGTTTTCCTGACAAGATTAAGCAAACTGAACAACATATCCCATCTCCTATGCAGAAACATTTTTTTGCATCAACTGGAAAACAGCCTCTACAAATTTAAATTCTTCAATTAAATCCTTTCAATTATCCTCAAAATAGAATTGACAATTAGCATCCTCGGCGTTAATGTGCACATTCAAACTGCATACACACTGTATGAGGACTACTATCTTTTTATTTGAAGTATAGTTATTTTACAACAGTGTGTTAATTATATGATGACTACTATCTTAACAGGAAAATTGATGTCGACATGCCATTGCCTTTGGTATTTTAAGTGTAACAAACCATACCCAATTGTAATTGTTCAGTCTCAGCATAATAAGGAAGTGAGAGGGGAAACAGACCACAAACCCATTTCTTTTGCAGCCTAAATTTCACTGGTATTTACCAAAGTAGTTGTAGTCACAAAAACCGGTATCAGAAATTTTTCCATTCAACTTATGAATTCCTTAGGAGACTATTTTCCATCTAAACAGCAAGCTTTACACCAAGAGAACTAGAGATACACAAATAATCAAATATTTAGTTCCTTTTAAAGTTCTTTTTAAAATAAATCATTCTGCGCTACAGCATAATCCAACTTACTTTATTTCTTTTTTCTCAGTAATCAAAGCCAGGCAGGATGGAAGTGACTGGCTTTTTCATCTCTTCCTTTTTTTTTAATTCATCTATATTGAGGTATAATTGATAAATAAAAATTGTATATATTTGAGGTGTATGATGATGTTTTGATATATGCACACACTATAAAATAAACATCACAGCCAAGCTAATAAACATACCCCTCACCACACAGTTGACATTTTTTGTGTGTGGTGGGAACACTCTGAGGAAATTACAAGTTTATAATACACTACTGTTAACTACAGTCACCCTGCTGTACATTAGATCTTCAAAATTTATTCATCTTAAGGGACTAAAGCTTTGTACTCCTTGACCATAGTAGCTCTGTATTTCCCCCTCCCCCAACCCTAAACTACTTTAAAAATGTACTATAAAAAGGGATCCACATGTACATTCTTTGAAAAGAAGCTGATGACAATAGCTGGGGAAACATACATATGGAAGGGGCTTCCCTGATGGCCCAGTGGGTAAAGAATTCGCCTGCAATCCAGGAGACACAGGAGCCATGGGTCAAGAAGATCCCCTGGAGGAAGGCATGGCAACCCACTCCTGTATTCTTGACTGGAGAATCCCGTGGACTGAGGAGCCTAGTAGGCTACTGTCCAAAGAGTCACAAAGAGTCAGATACAACTGAAGCAACTTGGCACACACGCACACACATACATATGGGGGGAAAAAAACTGACTAACAGATAAATGAGACAAGGTTTACTTGGCTTGATTCAATAATAAACTCTTAACAATCCTTCTGATTTCATCAAGGCTTTCAAACCTATAATTCTCTTTCACCTTCATACCAGCAACAATCCTGCAAAGTAGTCAACTCTTTTTTTTTCTTTTGGCCTCACTGCCTGTGAGATCTTAGTTTCCTGACCAGGGATCAAACCTGCAGCCTCTGCAGGGGAAGCATGGAGTCTTAACCACTGGACCACCTGGGAAGTCCCAATAGTCAAGTCTTTAGCACAGCCATTTCACAATAGGAAAATATAAGGGTCACAGAGGTCAAATGAATTCCCCAAGGCCACACAGCTAGTGAAGGCTTGAGGATTTACACTCAAGTTTCCTGAACCCAAGGCCAGGGGTCTTTCCCAGTGTCACACTATTCAGCCATGGACACAAGTTTCACTGCATCAGTGGTAACCCTGGTTTTCCCATGTGAAGGCAAAGGCTCCCTCATCCCTGGCTCTGCCAGACAAACACAAGCCCCCCACTGAAACTTATCCATCTAGCAGATACAGTACTTTGGCACGAGCACTGACCTAACACAGCATCATTTTTAAAAACAAAATTATTCTTGAAAGGAGTTGTGATTTAAGCTTCCAGCCTTGGGGCCTGAGTTAATCTGTCAGATTGGGCAGTACTGGAAAGCTAATGTTGCACTGATTACTTAAATCCCGGTGCTGTCCAAGGGCTACGTTCTAGCAGCTGGAAGGATAACGTGAACCAAAAGCCGGAAGCATTTGTAATAGGTATTATGAGACTAAACCAATGGTAACATCCTCTGGAATGCTGCGGACGGTAACGATTCAACCCTAATTCTTCTGACTGGTAGCCTTTTGCAGCCTTATCTTTTTCTGGGTCACCAGAGGGCAACTCTGGCGAAACCTAGGCACACTCATGCCCTTGCACCCTCACCTGGAGAAGCAGGAAGCATAAAGTGATTCCTCAATACAAGGGTATTCCAGAGCATCTTTGGATCACCAAATCCCTGGACAACCTAAGAATGGGGTATTACCATTATCTTTTCAGAGAGGGCACTCAGTTGAATAGCTTGCCAAGGAAACGTCTTTGAAAGTCTTAACGTATTCTCTCTAACAGGCATCAAGGAGCACTCACCCATGAACTATAAAAGAATGCTCTCTATTTTCACTCTTTACCAGCAATATCCCCACTTTACACGGCAGCAGTGCTGTCATGGATGGGCTGTCTCCACGTAACAGGCAAACCATATCATATCAGGTTTTGAGCCGGAGTTACTGGAGGGAGGAGAGGATGTGTAATTTGACCCAAGCAATTGTAAACTCAGGAAAATACTGGTGCACTATTGTCAAGTGTAATATAAGAAGAAGTGAAGGATTATGAGTTAATCTAAAATGCCTCCAACCCTGAGTATTTCTGATCTAGCGGTTTGAGTTCCATAATGAGGAGGCTGATTAGTGACTTCATGTCTGCCACTACTCCTTGATCACAGCCAAACCATAACCCGTCTGGACATCGCTCTTTACAAAACTAAAGTCACTATGCCAAAATCCTATTTCTTTCAGGGACTGAAGGCACCTTTCAACAAGCAAGTTCACCAGAATAACTGTAAAAGAAAAAAATTTTTTAATTTATTCACCAGTATTTTGAAATCCAGACCATATACAAGACAAATTGCTAAATTTGATTTATTACACTGAATACTAGTAAGCAACTAAAATTTTGGACGATTCTAATCCACATGTTTATGGTTCAAGCTCTGTGCAGAGAACATACAAGAATGCTTAACTTTTTCTGAATGGAAATAAAATTTCTTCATTTCCAATTAGCACCAGACAGAATCAACTTGTCAAGAGGATTCTCGAACTATATTGAAACTTTCACAACACAGAGGGGAAATATTTTCTGATGTTCTCAAATCTATATGCATCATTAATACATTTCAAAACACTGCCAAGCATGTGTATTAGTTTGAGAAGCCCTGCAGGAAACCCACCTGTCAGTTCTGAAGAACGGTAGAGTGGTTACCTCCTAGGAACGGACCTCGAGGATGGCAGATTCCGATGGCCATTTTCAGAAAGCTTTAACACTACTGATTCCAGAGCAGGGCCTCCTACTTACCATTCCCCTCCTGCCATCAACTTAAAGTATGTTTTTCATTTGTCGATAGCCACGTTTAAGTGAATTGTACTGGTTCTGCCAATACGGCACACCTCCAATGAGAATTTTCTTCCTAGACCCCCATGGGTATAATAGAGGTTGAGTGCAGGGGAATCTTGGATGCAAGGCACAGTTGTATCCAATGAACCATTGCTGGTATTGATACTATCATTACTTTGGCCCAGCCCTTCCTGGGTAGTGATGAGGCTCCAGATAACCGGGTGGATTGCACTGCAGGTATCAACTTCCTCAGGGCAGCATTAGCCTCTTCAGATGCCCCCTATGTGATCCCCACCCGCATGTGGACTGCAGGGGAGCTGGGCACATGGACACTTACGTTTGGTGCACCTCTGGGAGCCGGGGGCCTTACTCCAGCCATGACAGCACTGCCCACCACAGACATTGACCCTGAAACAAAGCAAGACCCCTGAGTCCAGCAGCAGCAACACTCTCTTCCAGAGAATCCAAGCCTCCAGGGGACTGCTGCAAGCCCAGCCTCCAGCTTCCACCTTCCTCTAGCTTCCAGAAAGTCCTAACAGGTACCCAGGAAGCCCAACCCAAAGCTGCCCAGGTAGGAGGAGATCAGAGCAGTACCGCAGAATCAAAACCTGCACAACCTGGAACTAGACAGAACAAGGTCCAAATTAGCAGTTTTCTTACAAAGCAAAGCCAAATGTATTTTGTATGTCGTCTGTGCCCACATTTTAAATTGAATCTGAGTTTCAGAGAGAGGCGTCCAAACAGAGGTGAGATCACAACGCCTGGAACCACCCCGAAGGAAAAAAAAAATAAGCAAAACAAGTTTCCTTCCACACCCTCAACCTATGATTAATGGGGAGGGGGGCAGGGAGGATGTTTAGGAAAGCTCAATAACAGAAACTATTGAACTGAAATGCCTGTCAATGCTAAGACATCCCCGTCCCGGGAAAGCAGACCCCACAGGTGTAGGGAAGCCAAGCCCACAATTACTAGGATGCTGAAAATTCTAGGTTACAGAACAGAGGCTGGATCTTTATAGGCAGCCCTCCTCCAAACTTTTTTTTTTCCCCACTAACTAAAAAAAAAAAATTAAACTGAGTTGCAAAGGGAAGTTTAATTGATGATGAGGGATTAAGCTGTAGTGACTTCATGTTTACGCCCATCTTCTAGGAGTAGTTTGCTTCGCGCACAGTAGGTTACGCCCCAGGCAGAAATGCCTTTTGTGTTTACCCGCAGCTCAGAAACAATGTGATCGGAGTTTTTACGCTCCGAGTTCCCCGGCTTCCCCGCACGCCGCTCTTCCCGCCGCACTCCCGGGAAGGAAGGCAGAGGCGGGCGGGGAGGAGACAGCAGACCCACGGGGGACTATACCCGCGGTCACCGCGGGGCTCCGAGGGGCCGTACCCCGCGTGTCCCCGCGCGAGCAGCGCGCGCGAGGAAGGAGGGAGGGGGCGTGTGGGCTTACCCCTGCAGCTGCTGCTTCTGGTGAACCTGCAGCCTCGAGCCCCCGCCGCTCTGGGTCTCCTGCGGCACCTTGGAGCGCATCGCTTGCCTGCCGTGTTTGGCGAACGGGGCGGCCGCCGGGTGACCGCCGGGCTTGGGGTGGAGCGGCCCTCCGGGGCCCCCGGGACGCGCCGGCTCCGGCGGTGGCGGAGGCGGCCGGAGCCCCTGCAGGGCCGCGCCGCCGGGCGGGCTGGTGCGCCGAGTCCGCTCCGAGTGGGCCCCGGCGCCGGCCGAGCTGCGGCTGTACCTGGCGTTGAGCGCGACGTTGAAGGTCCGCGGGCGCGGGGGCCCGCCCAGGGGCAAGGCGCCCGCCGCCAGGCCGGGGCCCGGGCGCACCACGTACGTGATCCTGCGCACCCGGCCGTGCGCCGATGAGGCCAGCAGCCCTGCCCACAGCAGGAGCCCCCACCTGAGCCAGGCCCCCGCCATCGCGGGCCCCAGCCGGCGCCCCCGGCCCCCGCCCCCGGCCGTGCCGCCTGCTCGGGGCGGCCGCTCACGCGCGCTCAGGATCCCCCGGAGGCCGGCCGGGAGCCCGGGAAAGGCGGGGAGGAGGAAAACTCGGTTGCAGGAGAGGAAGTTCCGCGGGCGGCTGAGCAGCCCCAGACCCCAGCCGAAAGCGNAACTGCAACAGGAATCAATCTGGGAGGCAGTCCTACCGTCGGTGAAAAGGCCTTTATGATGGGAGTACTCGGCTTAGAATCCATAATAATGCCAAGCCGTTATTAGCATCTTTTTAAAGTCAGATCAATAGGATGGGAAGGGAGGTGGGAGGGGGGTTCAGGATGGGGAACACATGTACACCCATGGCTGATTCATGTCAATGTATGGCAAAAACCACTACAATATTGGAATTAGCCTCCAATTAAAATAAATAAATTTTTTAAAAAAGAAATGAAAAAAGAAAAAGTCAGATCAGTTCCCTGGGCCCCTATTGAAAACGAAAGGATCACTCACTGGAGATAAACCAAAATCACATTAAGGGAGATGCAGAATGTCCCAGGGTACAGAGGATCTGGGGTCAGGGTGCTTTTGGGGGGAAATCATGAAATAATAACATATTTACTTCTAGCATTTGAATTTAAAACAGTGTCTCCAGCAGAATTCATGCTTTAATTACATGAATGCAATAAAAAAAAACCTGCATTGGCTAGTGGACAGTTGATAGCAGGTGACAATAGTTTAAAAAGAATTAAGGGAAAAGAAGGTTGAAACTTAATCCCTTAATCTATTTTTTCTGTAGATTGGGGAAAGACCTCCGATATTTGATTTGGCAGGAGAGAGCTTCAGTCCATCTGCCTGAGCCCCAGTTTCATGTGAGAACACCCTCTGAGAGCCACAGTCGCAGAAACAACAGCATCTGGCTGGAGAGAGAGACCTCAGTTCAGTCCTAACCACCACTAAGTAGCCGAAACACCGGCAGCTCACCTCTCCTCTCTGCTCCTCAGCTTGCTCCTCTACAACAGAGAGAAGTTGGATTCAAACTTCCTTCCAGCCCTAAGAGTCTGTGGCTCTAAGAACATCCGGGGTCCCTGTGGACAAGCTGACTGAGGTCACTCGAGGTCAGTCTCTGAGTCAGGCCAAAGAGAACCAGCTGAGAAGATTGAGGAAGGAGGATGGGTGAAGAAAGTGTCTCCCAGCCTGGGATCCTGGAGAAAGGACACAGCACGAGCTAATAAATATCTCCCAAGTGCTACGCTGGAGGCAGGCAGAGAGGCTGACCCTTTGCAGAGACAACATATCAGAGGCACAGCTTTTCTATTCTGGTAAAGCTTCCTATGCTATTCGAGAGAAAAAAATGTAAATAAACAAAAGCTTTTGAAAAAGATAAATAACTCAATGAAGCCACAGTTTGAAACACTCACAGAACCCTCACAAGGCAGGATTTGATTTATGAGAGGCCAATACAACAGTGGGTTTCCCTGGTGGCTCAGATGATAAAGAGTCTGCCTACAATGCAGGAGACCCAGGTTTGATTCCTGGGTCAGGAAGATTCCCTGGAGGAGGAAATGGCAACCTTCTCCAGTATTCTTGCCTAGAGAATCCCATGGACAGAGGAGCCTAGCAGGCTACAGTCCACGGGGTTGCAAGAATCAGACACAATTAGCGATTAAACCACCACCAGTGTCACAGTACAACCTGTAATTCGTTGTCATCTCACAGAGAATCTGCAACGTGTACGGAAAACATTTTCTACCTGCAATTCAAACCAGTTTATAGAGATTTTATAATCTCTATAACCTCTCAGGTAGGCAGCAGTTGAAATGGATGAGGGAGGGGGTGTCTAGAAGCACCAGCTCCATTCTGAAGAGTCTAGACTGCAAAGAATGCATGTCAGACAGGTGAAAGCTCAGGAAATAGTGATGGATAGCATCACCAAAGGACCAGACTTTAGTCTGTGGTGGTGGGTGAGCTGTTGTGAGTCACTCCAGGACCCAGATGGACAGCACACATAGAAGCCCATTTCGGTCGATGAGAGGCAGCCGCCTGCAGAGGGCAGAGCCTGGACGTGGAGCCAGAGGGCTGGGCTGGAGCGGCCTGGCTGTTGCGCTTCCTGCACAGACTGAGCAAGCCGTTTCAGCTACGGGCCTGGGGGTCCGCCCAAGGTCCCCACGTGTGAGGAGAGCAGTGGCGCTAACCATGCTCTGTGATTCTGCAGAAACATGTTTAAAAAGCAGTCTTCCTTTCTCTTGATCCACAGAGGTATTTCACCCCAGTCTTCAGTCTGATTACAACCTGCCTTGTGACATATTTGGATACATTCACAATTAGACCTTCTCTGAAACATAACCACAGGATCTCTAATAATCTCTAATTGTTATCTCTAATAATCTCATAACATAATCTCTAATGTTAATGTTAATCACATCGATAAATGATCCATATACGTTTGTATACATGTGTGTTTATTTATATACAACCATTAATGTGGTGATATGGTGGCGCAGTGATAAAAAATCTGCCTGCCAATGCAGGAGACACAAGAGATGCGGATTCAATCCCTGAGTCAGGAAGATCCCTTGGAATAGGAAATGGCAACTCTAGTATTCTTACCTAGGAAATCCCATGGACAGAGGAGCCTAGTGGGCTACAGTCCATGGGGTCGCAAAGAGTCGGCCACCACTGAGCATACACACAGAAGCAAGCAGTCTAGTCAAGAAACTCTAGCAAAGTCACAGTTTTTCCACATCAGTCTCTTGCTGTCTACATAACTAGCAAGATAATCCTTGAAAAATGTGTTGTGCACCCTATGTACTATCGTATGAGATGGTCACTCATCTAAAACACTGAACTCACTGTTACTCTGAAAGTGAAAGCCCAGTTTCTGTCAGGCTTGGGGACCAGCCTTTGCCAAGTCTAGACCCTGTTTAATGCCAAGCCCCCTAGGTTTCAAGGTTCATTTATATTGGCAGTATACAACTTCCTGGTTCAAAAAACAAGTCTTTAAAGATCTCATAAAACTTTCTGGACTTCAGATGGTTTTTACAAAACAATACTCAGATGAGCTAAGTGTAAATGAATCAGGAAAGAGGATTATGTTTCGCATAAAAACTCATGGGTTTGAGGATTAGGGGAAGAAAAGAAGGCTGGCAAATGCTAAACTTTTAAAGCACTTTGAAACCATTAGTCAAATTAAAAAAATGCAGCCAGTTTCCCTCATTCTTACATTTTATGAGTTTTGTAATTGAAAATCTTTTCCTATATTTAAGATCAGCTACAAATCAACTTAGTGGCTGCCTATAATCAGAACTTCTTCCACTCATATTTTCTTCCAGCCAAGGATTTCATAGAACCTCTTTTAGTTCTCTTCTAATTTCATCAAGAAATTCTTAGAAAGAGAAGGGAGAAGGGGAAGAGATGAACAAGAATTTGGTGAGTTGTAGGTAAAAGAAAGAGAAAAGGAGAGTGAAAGCAAGAAAGAGATTGAGGAATGGAAAAGAAAGGGAAAACAAGAGAGGAAGTGTGAAAACAAAAAGAGAGGAGATGCAGTGGAAGGAGGGAAAAGAAGAGATGGGTGGAAAGAAGGGCGGATTGGAGAAGTGCAAAATGAAGGAGAAATCAATAAATGAGAAGTGGGGGCAAAGAGGCAGGAGCAGGGGGAAAGGAAAAAGGAACTATAGGGTGAGAAGGATTATTCCCAGCATCTATGAGCTAATCTTCTCGGGTTGCTCACCAGGATCCTGCCATTTCTGAACCTCGGCCGGTTCTGACCTGAACATCAGCTTGTCCAGGTTTGGGCGAGATTTAAACCTGTGACCTTAGAAGGTGCTAGAATGGAGGCTGGCAGGCTGCCACACCACATGCAAAGCTGGAGGCACAGGACGTCTCATGTTCTCTCACACAAGCAGGAGGCCAAAGGCCACAGCTTCAGCTCCAGACACCTGCAAGGAGATGCTTCATTTACTCTTGTTCTTCCAACCAGTGCATCAAAAAAAAGCAGAGGTGAAGGAGATCAGAAATGTGGGACTTCCTCCACATTTAACTCAGCATCCATGAAAAATCACACAGCTTTTCCAACGAGGAATTAAAGCAGAGACACATCCAGTGAAGGTATCCATGTTTCTCCTGAGATGTGTCAGCAAGATGGAGATGGGGCCCATTTGCAGAGAAGAATGAGGTGCTCCTGGGACTGAGCAGCAAGTGGAACCAAAGTTTACCCTAGGCTTTCCCTCCCTTTAATGCTTCAGGTTTGCAATCTAAGCATCCTTAGTTGTCATTCAACAAACATTTAGGGCCCTAAACCCTACAGCCCTCAGATAGCCTACATAACTCTTTCAGCAAAATCAAAACAAACTTCCATTTCAGGTGGAGAAGTTTAAATAAAGCCTGGTTGGACTGCAACCCAAAGTTGCCCCTGGGCCAGCGAGTGTCTTTGTGCTGACCCTGAGTGTGCAGCCCTAGCCAGATACACCCCATTCACACACAGTCTAATGAGGTATAATTACATGTATGGTGAGTATTGAATAAAGGACTGCGGGAAATGAGACCCAGACAAGGAAAAGGGTAAAGGGTATCAGTTACTACTCTACAAATTTTGAAGAGCCAATCCACAAAAGGGAAATTCACCAAACGGAAATTTTGGGTACACTAAATTTCCCTTTCTGATTATTTTGGTCCTTTCTTACTTACCTTGAGTATAATCAAGGGTTAAGTATCACACAATGGCAGCTGCCCAAGGCAATGAAATGCCTCTCTGTCTACAGGGAACCAAAATCTATTCCTTAATTTACTCTCATTGAGGTTTTTCATACCCATTTATTCAAGTTTTTGGACATTAAATATGAAAACATGTAATAATTAAGTAGTTATCAATACAATTTTACTTATACTTTTCATTCATTTCCAAACTTCATTGGGTCAATCAGCTGGTCAGCGTTCAAGAGGGCACACAGGAAATGTGTTCTTACTCTCAAAGAGTTTGCGTCTTGAAA